GGTTTAAATGGGGGCTTTAGACAAAACTACTGAATGTACAGTACATAGATTACAGTACGTGTCTAAGAAGGTCTGAGAGACTTCCTCTGTCTGTGTTAGAATGGCATGATAAATGATCGAACAGCCACACAAAAATTGCTGGAGACCTAAGGCACATGCAGTAACACTGTATTTACTGGAATAAATGCCGCACCCAGGAATGTGGACTGCAGAAATTGAAAAGAACTTTACAAAGCACAAGTTACCTTTCTGAATAGCAATGGTTGAAATAAAAAAAAAGATCTCTTTGTTATAAATAAATGAAAATGGAGGGGAGTCAAAACAGAAACAAAAAGAAGACAAAATGCAACTAATGTTCAAATAAACTCCATGTTTTCTTCCTCTAAAGAGGTTTCTTGCTTCCTTCTCACGTGAGAACTCTTCCTTCATCCCTCTCCATCTTCTTATATGCTGCTGGTCCACTTCAAACTGCCTTCCAGTTGGACGATTCCTATGCTGTTCAGTGCACAGGTTCTCCTTCTTGAACGCAAAAGTATACTGTGATCTCTTGTTCATTTTGGATAACTACAAATAAATATGCTTTTTTATCACTCAATTGTAACAACACACCGTTACAGTACTAGCAAACAGTTCAACATTGTTTAGGTCTGGTGATAAATATATCAACAACCAAATCAACTTCAGATTTTTTTTTCACTTGTATTAAAAAATAAACTGCAGGCAAATTGTACCACCCTAAAATCTGAAAAAAAAAAGGTTTATATTTGGGTAAATTAATGAAGGAATCACAATTCCCTCAGTCAATTACTATGAGTAAGTTTGATCATGAGCTTTACAGACTTTTTGGATTAAGGTCTTTGTCTTCTTATGAGCTGAAATAATAATATGTGCATCATGTCTGATTAATAACTTCTTATACAGTACATAGTGCATGAATATATTTGGAATTCTAATATTCTATTATATTTTTAATATGTCTACATTATACATTATAGATTTTTACATGTGAAGATGATAAAACTGTATAGTCATGGATTAAAAAGTAAAAAGTATTTCTCTTTATTATATGGAAACACAGCATATTACCATATGTTTAGTAGAATTGAAGCAAAACTTGTTTTCTAGTGGGAATACCAAAGCAGCACATGAGATAATTGGGCTCATGGAAATGTTAAAACTAATGTAATTAGTTCTGAATGACTTGCTGTGCTGTTCTTGTTACTCCCTGCGGAGCCTCAGGGATAGAATGGTTTCTGTAGTTTGTGCAATATTTTTCCCTTGAGGAATAAAGTAATGATTCAGTTCACAGCATTTTGGCTTTGGATCCTTCAGATCTCTACATTTTGGAATAGTTAAAGTATATATATATATGTTTGTGTATTTTTGTTATTAAAAATGACATTTACAAACCTACTATTCTAGATTGCTCTTAGTGCTGTAAAGTTCATTTTGCATTATTATTTAGTTAAACCAGGGGGATCCATAAGGAAGTTCTGGCTTAGGTTTATAGATGAGGAGTATTTCCCCTATAACAGTGCTGGCTAATAACATAGCGCTAAATATACAATACCAAAAAGTTGCTGAAAAGCTACATTTTGGAATGTATTTTAGAACTGAACTGAAATTCAAGAGAAAAACGTTTCTGATGTGGAACGAGAGTGGCCAAACAACTAACACTTTGTTAAACAATACAGAACTTTGTAACCAGCTAAGTATTCTCTTTTGATGGTCAACTTGTTATTGTAAGTTGTTTTGGTTTTACAAAACCATAATCAGTTTTAACATTTTAAATGATAGTTGTTGCACTATATCTGACATTTTCATTTTTTTATTTGGTTATGTGGCACATCTCTGGTTCACTCATCTTTCTTCATGCTGTGTATATAAATAATGGCTCTGGCATATTCCATTGATAAGTATTGTGCATTGGAACCCAGAAACTGACAAAGCTGTGAATATTGGTCCAGTAAAATGTTGCCCATCCTTTTTTGAGAACAAAACAAAACACACGCCTGTAACGAACAGTTCTTTCCGGAACTTATGCGGATGACACAATCCGAAGAAGTGGGGAAACACTAGGAAAAAGTCATGCAGGAATACGGGGCTGAAAACAGGGGGGGCGTATCCAAAGTGCGCTGGTGCACGGGGGAGGTGTGGCCGAGGCAAACAATCCAAAAGTAATCCATAGAGGGAATCCAAAAACGCAAGAAAGTCCATAGCCAGGTGATCCATCCAAACAAGGAATTAAAAACACGAACCGGGTCGGAACCGGCAGACAAGGAACAGGAACAGGAACAGGAACAGGAACAGGAACAGGAACAGGAACAGGAACAGGAACAGGAACAGGAACAGGAACAGGAACAGGGGTTAAAACCTTAACGGGACGAGGCGCTTCCAGGTCCCGGACTCGCACGGTGCGGAAACCAGATGCATAGCCTGGATGAATGTCAGCGCCTGGCTTTTAAGGTGGGCTGAGAAAAGGGGTCAGGTGCACAGAATTAAGTCTGAAGTGAAAGGGCTGGAGCACCCTTAAGGAGGAGGGACTATAATCGTGACAACGCCCCACTCCCACCCCAAAGAAAATCCCACTTTTAAAAGACATAAAAAAGGACTACAAGAATGTTAAGAATAGAAAAAACATTTTTAACAGACTCCATGATCTAATTGTCTGTGTCATAGCACCATGGATACAGGCTATGGAAAATTTAACAAAACAGAAAAGCTTATTGATGCCAAGGAAGGGGCCAGAGGTTAGCTAACCTTGCACTATCATTTTTTAGCACCAGTAGTACCATCTTAGTATATCATTTTTTTGCAAAATAGTGTCAAAGATGAATCATCAATCAGTAAAAGTAACTGTGGTTAACAGGAGATATCTCTGTCTAAAAGATAAGGAGGAATAAACATATCCAATCCTGATATTTGCCTGAATGCAGCAGTGTACCGGGAAGCAATCTGAACAAGCAACGTATCTTTTGATATTCATCTATCATCTAAACTTTATTCAATACAGGGTTGCAGGTGAGCCAGAGTGTATTGCGGCAGTGCATGGCAAAATGTGCTGCATCGCAGGGCACACACAGACACAAACACAAAAATGCACACACTCAAACTAAGGCCATTTTTCCCAGAAGCCAACGAGCAGAGAAACTCCATGCAGATAGCACACCAGGAATTTAACCCAGGACCCCAACACAGTGAGGAAGCAGTGCTAACCACTGCACCACTGTGCCACACAGAAACCTTCATGAGTCCAGAGACGTGTGAGTCGCAGCAAAGACTCCTGGAGTAAAGTGTAGACTGAAAACATCATGCAAGACATGAAATGTTAGTGAGATAACCTGGTTTCCACTTGCCAAAAACATATGGGTGTTTCCCAGGCACTAAAGAACTGCATACAGTACAAACACAATTATTGAACCCTTAAGGATTTTCAAATATTTCACAGACAGTACTTGAAACCTAAAATGTATTAATTTAAGATCCTATTCAAGATCTTAATTTAAGATCCTAATAATAGATCAAGTTAACCTGATGAAACAAATGACACAAAACATGAAAGTTTTTTAATATTTATTTATCGTCAAATGATACAATATTCAATATCCAACTGTGACAAAGTACCGTATGTGAACATTTTGATTCAGCAACTGATGGCACCCACAATGAATGCAACTAAACATTGATCAGTTTCATGTCAGTTTTGAGGAATTTTGGCCCAGTTCTTCTAAGTGAAACTCCTTCAACTCTGTTGACATTTGAGGTTTGCTTTTGGTGTTGCCACAATATTTCAATGGGGTTTAGGGGTCTAAATTGTGACTAGGCCATTGCATTGTAAAATGCAGCATTTCTTCTTCTGTATCCATTCTTTTGTAGATCTACTCGGACATTTTGCATAATTGTCTTTCTGCAAAAAAACACTTTTGGTTTAGCTTCAGGTCATAGACAAATGGCCTGACATTCTCCTCTTGAATGATACATTCAATTATACATTTCAGAATCTTCTTCTTTCTGATCCAGGTCCCCAGGTAGCAAAGGATCCCCAAACCATCACACTTCTACCATCAGGATTCTTCTGTTTGAAAGCAGTGTTTGGTTTTCACCAAACATAACATTTCTCATTGAGGCCAAAGAGCTCTGCCTTTGACTTTGATTTTCTCCTTTCTATCCTTCCATGAATACCATTTTGTGTTCAGTCTTTTACGATACTTCAGTCATGGACAATCACATTAGCCATGGCAAGAAAGGCCTATAGTTCCCTGGATTTTATTCTGTGGTTCTTTGTAACTTCCTTGATGGTTGTCCTGACAGCTCTTAGAGAGATTGTGGTAGGACAACAAAGTCTTGACACTTCTCATTTTTTTAAGATTGCCATAATTTGAATTGGTGAAATCCCAAATGCTTAGAAGTGATTTTGTGATTTTTTTAACTGATGAGCATCAATAAATCTTTTTTAAAGTTCTTATAGATTTCCTTAGTTTGTGGCATAACATGTTTCTACACACCTGTTTGGTGAACACAAATCTCACAACATTTCTGATCTTTATATAAGGTGGGGCCTTCCAGGATCTACCCAATTATTTAAACACTTAATTGTAATTATTCCCATAATTGAACCAATGAAACTAGGATTGTGCTTACATTTTTTGGACCAACATTACTCATTATTGGATTCATGCATCATTTTATTTAAATAAAAATGGAATTGGTCACTATAAACTCTGCAAGATATTTACATAAAGGGTTCGATTCAAGAAGTAAAACTATAACATTTCCATATTTATCTTTGGGGCTCACAAAAGGTTTCTCAAAACTGTACATTATATTAATTGATGCAGAAAATGTATATTGGTGGTTCCACTGGTGGGAACTGTGGAAACCCAGCATACACCATGGGAAATGTAATGCCATTTTAGTGCAGAACAATATCCTTTCATGAATCCTAGTTAATTATTATCCAGACCATTGTAGCAATATATTCCTCCCACGTGGTTTTAGTTTACAACTTGGATATTGTACAGTGCAGAACATACAGAAGTTGTAAGCCTATGATAGCTGCTTTAATTATTTTTGCACATCAGATGAGTAGGATTTGAGTAATCTTTATCACACTATCATTTGGAAAGTTGGTAAGTTAAGAATGAGGAAAATATGTTCTTGCTTATTGTGTTCAGGAGAAATCGTACGGAACTTAATGCCAAAGGCTTAAAGTGTAAACTTTGAACAGCTCTGTGTTATCTGGTAATGATTACAGGCAGAGGTGAATGTTAGAATTAAGTGCTCTACACTTCGTTTGGTAGAATACAATTATGCACTTGTTGTAAGATGCACAAGATTGGCATTTATTTATGTTTCAAATTTGACCTCATATTGTTTAAAGTACACTGGAATCATTGAGGAGAGCTAAGCCTCCTTTCTCTCTGTCATATTTTGTTTCTCTTTACTCCTTAAATTGTAATTTCGTGAGTGTGTTCTTGAACATGAACAGCTATAAATGTAGGGGTATCTTGAAAAAAATATGGCCTCACAAAGATATTTGTTCTTACTCTTAGCATACTTACAGTGTTAATATAATTGTAGCTATTTACAGTAGGGAAGGACTAGGGTTTGTAAAACATTTGTAACTTAAAAAAATCATTTACTTTTAGGTGTTGTTGTTTTCATGCCATTCCCTGGTGGCAAGGAACTGGTCATTATTGAAATTATAAACTGTGGATATGCAGAGCACTCATTTTATAGAAAATGTTTGTAATCAGTTTAATTACTTTATTAGTTTAAATATTTTATTTTAGGATAAATGGAATTTACCACAAGAGGGCATCAAAGCACTATCCTCTATTTAAAAGAGAAATGTGAATCACTCATAATATAATCAGTTAAATATATGATAAACTACAATTAAAGAAAATGCATAACCACTGAACCACAGAAGAGATTCGGACAGAAGTATCAATAAAATCAAAATTAAATTCCACTCACTTAACTTGTTTTTTTTCAGCTGGATATCTATTTTTTTAAGTAGCTTGACTATCCCTTTAGAAAGTATATTTTTATATGTAAGTTCTATTTAATTTTAAATTTAAATGCAGTATAAAGTATTTACAAGTGATTAAGGTCAAGGCTTCCACACCACCTGGAAAATATGTAAAACTGTAAATGTATTAGAATACAGTTTTGTGTTTGAACACTTCATTTACAGTTTTCACACTAAAGAATTTTAAAAGGGGCAAAGTTGGTTGTGAGTAGATATACAAAGCTTTGATTATCAGGGGAGAGCACTAAAATTCTTTTTCATTTCATTGTCAAATCAAGGGTGTAAGAAAGCAGTAGCTGCAGACAAGATGGAAGATATTGGGGAATGATCTGGCTTCCTCTGTGAAAACAATTGTTTTGTTGACAAGTGAAAAAATACAGGAAGTTCAGAGATGTATTGTCCAGTAGCTTCTGGTGTCTAGAAAAAAAAACAGAACTTATATTATGGATCTGAAATCCACCTGATGAAGGAAGTGAGAATGGAAGTGACAGACTGGCCAGTAGACATTGTGAGTTTTTTTATCATTCAGAAACTTAGCTGTCCAGCCATATTCATAGAGAGGGCTAATGAAGGATTACATTTAGAGCTCAAAAAGAGCTATGGTTTTATTTTGTATTCTTACTGCACTTTAAATAAAAGGACTATTTTTGTAGTGTTTTGGATTGTTGTCTCTTTGTATTTGTTTTCCAAGTCCCGTCTACTTAAAAGATGCTTGCTACCATAAATATCCTCATATGGTGGAGAATGTGGGCAGTAATTGCGGTCCTGGGAATAGAGCACTTGTTTGGCTGATGGTAACAATGCAAGAGGGAATTTGAAAATAAAACTTCAAGGAGAAATATTGGGTTTGGATGAGAGATCCTAGGAGTCCACTGTGGCTGGATGCTGAGAACAGGAGGCTCCTTCCCCTGGAATGATCAATTAGATTGAAGCAACAAATAAACAACTGTCTGAAAATGGTGGTACTTGGCACCCTTTTATTATCTAAAAATGAAAAAGAAACTGCTTGAGACTAGTGATGGGAACAAGAGTGTGAAGGAGGACCCCAGAGGGAAAGTGGATGCTTTTCCCAAAGATAATGGGACAAGAGAAAACATTTCTAGGCCTGAGAGTGATAGAGGTCTCCAGGACCACTGCCTAAAGTGAGGAAGAAATCACTACAGTACCAGCACAGTGGCCACGGTCAGGCACCTATGAAGACAGACAGAAGAGAGAACAGAAATTAAATTTAGTGAAAGAGAGAGGGGGAAGTACAGAATCCTTAAACTCACTGGATTGTGAATTTGGAATAATAGGTGGGTGGGGGGGTCAAACACTAAACAACTGGATTGAAAAATGAGAATATTTCATTGAACACAATGAGGACAAGAAATGGGAGGGAAGAGTAAACAGAAATGGAAACAAGATGTGGACTATATGAAACATGAGGCCTAGCAGGTGAAGACAGGTAGCAGAGTGGTCCTTGCTGTTGACTAAAATCCAGCAACATGATCAATTATCACCAAGTGCAGGATACTAGTGGACCAGGATTGATGCCTTGTTGTTTTGTTTTTCTGTGCTATTTTTTTTCTCTCTCTTCTTTTTGTAAAGAGTTGGCTTTTCTCCAACACACCATCAGTTTATACTGATGATTGTGGAAAAAATAAGAAAAAGTTTTTTTTTCTTTGGAGTATTTCTTAAAAAAACACCCTTTATGGAAGATCTGCGCTATGGAGCTATGGTAAACAGGATATCAGCCAGCACCATGGTTTGAAGGTAAGGATTTAAAAGGCTGACCAAGCAGGCCACTTAGTCACTTGGAACCGGGGAATTTTCCCTTCACCTGAAGTAGTCCCTATAAGAGCAACAGATCTGGATACCTATAGTGAAATGGTGGAAACTTTTTTATATAAAGAAAAGATGTGACATTATGAAACAGATAGGAAGTAATCATAGTAACAAATGTTCTCATACAGTATATGTAAACTATGCAGATAGCAAGACAGAAAGGCTTCATATGGTATTTTCAGTTTTTCTGGAAGTGATGCCATGGAGAATTACTCTATGATTTAGAGTTTAATGGTGGTCATCCTCCTCCTCATTTATGAATGCTTAATGGCGGATTGTAATGCATTTCTGGTGTATAATTACTGGGGTGGTTGTGCATTGGTAAGCACCTCTGTCTCACAGTGCTGGGACCCTGCGTTAAATTCCAAACCTAGGGTGCTATCTGTGTGGAGTTTGTATGTTTTCCTCATGTGTGCATGGGTTTCCTCTAGGTGTACCAGTTTTCTCCCACAATCCAAAAACTGGTACTAAATTCTGGTAGGTTATTCTGGGAAAATTGGTCCTGGTACGAGTGTATACATGTTTGTGATGGACTTGCATTCTGTCCAGGGTGTACCCTACCTTGTGCATGCAACTTGCCGATATAGGGTCTGGCTCCCCTGCAACCTGTATTGGATAAAGTGGTTAGAAAATGGATGGGTTATAATTTGACACTTCTTCTGCTGCAGTAGTAAGATTGTTTTGGCTGTGTAGTCGCTGTAAATCAAATGTTCATAATTACAGTAAGCATAGTAGCTGTTAAATATTGTTGTAATAGTTTGCTGTAAATACTGTGATTATTTCAATTGAATATATATTCAGGTATACAGTAGGTACTTTTAATATGAAAGGAGGTTCTGAAGAAAGATAATAAAGCATACAGTATATGAATACAGTACTGTGATGCATCGGCATCCTGTCCAGGAAATATCCTGCTTTGCGTCTGTTGCTTGCCTATATAGAATCCAGCTTAATTGCAACCCTGAGTTGGATGAAGCTGTTAGAAAATGGATGGATGGATGAACACAAAAGTTCATACTAAATCTAACTCACCACGGCTAAATTCTGTAGTTGAATATGATAATATATTGTACATAAGGTGAATCCTATAATATATTGTATATCTTCTCGTACGTCTTCTCGTAAGTGGAAAAATCAGTGCAAACAAGCAGACCCCGCATACAGTAAGTGGGAAAATGTGAAGAAGAAGAAGATCTTCTTCTATAAAAATAACTGCAAAGCATGACTATTATTTTTTACTTTTGTCTCAATACAGCCAAATACAGCATCATAACTGTGTTTAGTATTAGAAGCGACTGAAGAGGCACACTTAAAAGTCCTGTCCTTTTATTGTAATCATTTCAGTACAAGACACCATTAGACTATAATTAATGTCTCTGCTATTATTTTAAAAGGTGCTACCAGCTGGCAGCACGTATTCAAATAATTATATATAATATATTTGTGTAGCTTTTTATGTTACTAATAATGATTTAGTGTCAGTACAACACTGTTTTTATGGAAGTCAAGTTCCTTTAGTCCAAAGACATTTATAAACTTTATTTTGTAGCTTGTATTCCACTGAGAGAAAGCAATAACCATTTCAGCCAGAAGATTAAAAATTTGAACAGATTATATACAGTATTTGTTCAGTGGGTCAATGTTACCAACAGCAAGGCATTGGTCAGCAACCAAATCTATGTTTTGTACAGTTTTTAACTGAATCTGTTAATCATTCACTCACCTCAGTGTGCTGATTGTGAGTGATCCACCTGACAAGACCATGACATTTTAGAAGTATATTTATCCCAATGTGTTGAACTTCTTAAAGCTTTCTTCTGATAGTACAGTAAGTCAAATCATGTTAGTTTTTTAAGAAAAATAAATAAATTCAAATTACAAGTTGTAGTGATTGGGCAACTGACGATCTGTAAGGCACCAGTAATTGATTAGAAAAATGTGCATGCTTACATTGGCATACAGTATGTTAGTAGTATATCAAAAGTTGCTTACTTTACATTTTTCCACCTTTGTTAAAAGATTTTTTTGTTAAAAGTAAGTCATCCTTTAGCATCATTAGTAGAGTGAAAGGCTTTGTTATTTAGCTGTGATTATGTACATGGGAAGAATATATATAAATTAAAATTTCAAATAAAATATGTAATGTGTGTATTACTATGGACACAAGTAAGAGTGTGCTGTATATAAAAAGACTATTTCTCTAATTTGTTCAATGATGTTATTGATAAGTGTAGAAATAATAGTATAATTATACTATAAATATAATTATACAGTAGTTACACTATACATATCTGTGATACCTTTTCCCAGTTTTCTAAAGGTTTATCCATACATATTCTGTAGTAGTGGTGCGTTAACCAATTTAAGATGCATAATTCAGCTATTTACACTGGTGAGAAAAAGTTTGTAGACAATTTACGATTTTCACATATTTTACATATTGAAATCTAAAATGTAATTAGTACTTAATCCAGTGACACCTTGAGTACCTGGTGGCATCCCCTTGAGCAGCAATAATTGCAACTAAACCAATCAGTCTCTCATGTTGGTTTTGAGGTGTTTTGGCCCTTTCCTTCTTACAGAACTGTGACATTTGAGGGCTACCTTGCATTGACAGCACACATCATGCCTTGCCACAACAATTTGATGGGGTTTAGATTCAGACTTAACTAGGCTATTGTACTTAACTAGGCCGTTGTAGAGCTTGGGATATTATATTGCTTCTTCTGCAGCCTTTCTTTTGTAGATCTGCTCACCTGTTTAAGATCATTGTCTTGCTACACTTTCATTTCAGCTTAAGGTCATGGATATGTGGCCTGAAGTTTCCCTCTAGAATCATCAGATACAATGTTCAGTTCATGGCTGTGTTAATGATGACAAGATGTCCAGACCAAAAGGAGCAAAGCATCCCAAAGCCATCACACTTCCAGCACCATATTTGATGGCTGAGATGAGGTTCCTCTATTATTAGTGTTTGTTTTTTGCCAAAAAATGACTTTTTATATTGAGGCCAAGGAATTTTAGCAAAAAAGTTTAGTGTTCAGAAGACATTGTTCTAGAAGCCTTGTGTTCTTTGGTGAACTTATGATGGGCAGCCATGTTCTTTTTGGAGGGCAGTGGTTCTCCTTGATATACTACCATGGCTATTATGTCTAACAGCAGAGTAGGGGAGCTCCAAACCTTAAGAAATGGTTTTGCAACTTTTTCTAGACTCATAAGCATCAATAACTCTTTTTCTGAAGTCCTCAGGGATTTCCTTTGATCATGGCATGACAGCAGTTCTGTGGTCTGAGCTCTTTAGAGGATAGCTATTTTTTTATTGCTCCCCACTATTTTACAGTAAGATCATAGATGTAAAACAGTGGTCGTTCAACTTCTTTTCGTTGGAGAATCTATTTCTTCAATGTTGCAACTTCTTTTTTTCTTTTCTCTGGCTGGCCTCCAGAATGGGTTCTACAAAGAGAGTCTACTGCTTCAGAGGTCTTCTGCGAACAGCCTAGATGAAGACTATCTGTGTCCTTCTTTCACTTCACTGTTCACTGGATACTCTGGACTGCAGTTTGTTGAGGGTAGTCGATTCTTGCTTGGCCTACCTCAGTTCTACCTTGGAGGCTGTCATTTCTGCTCTGGGACCTCCTCAGATCTTCTCTTACTTTCATTAGAATCTTCAATAAACATTCACTCTCATCCTTGTCAGTTATCATTTAGAATCAGTAACTTTATCTTCCAGACTTTTACAATTTCCATCCTAACCCCCTCTCTGTATCAGTTCAGAACATTGTAATTTGTTTTCTTACCTACCATTCTGGTAGTTTTGTGGATGTTTGCTTTTGTGCCCATTCTTTCCTTTGTGGAAAGGAGTTTTTTCATTTTGTTCTCACATTTTAAACTGGAGGACAATAATCATTCCCCTGGGTAGACTCAGATAAGGTCTACTGTATGTTTTATTCTTTTTTTTCTTATCTATGCAGAAATTTCCTTGGCCTTTGGCATCTCCCTCTTAATATTCATGTTTTACCTCTCCTCTGGTGCCAGTTGTCTCCTTTTTCAGGTATTCTGCTTTCAATTATTTCCTTTATTTTCTGTTGCAGCTGTTTGATGCTATTTTTCCTCCAGGGTTTGAGTCACTGTTGGTTCAAAGGGACTGTTGATGGAAGGGATCAGTTGTTTGATCAGATCCAATCATATGTTTATATACAGTATACTCTATATTAAAAAAAAACATTTCCCTTGCATTCTGACCAAACACTCTGCTCCCCAAGAACACAACCTGTGCGTCTTCCTTCACCATATGTGGTATCTGGCAGTGGAGTGCATAAATATGTGTCTCTCAGAAAAACCTGCACATACAATCATAAGGAAAAATGCACCCAGTATATAACAGTGCAAGGAAAAAAAATCAAAACCTCTGTCCAAGCTCTAACCACATTTAACACATTTTCCACTTACCCTCTCTTTCAATAGCTGGACAACTAAGCTGCATACTGCCATTCAAAATTCCAACTATCTCTCCAAAACTCACCCAAAAAACAGTCAGACTTTAACAATGTGTCCTTTCATGCTTCTTTTATCCATCAGTGGACAACAGCCACTGGAAGCCTTTGCTTGCTGATTTTAAATTGTCAACCAACCAGCTGTGTTCAACAAAGCTTTCAGGAAACTGGACAGAACCCACTATATTTCCATCAGCTCACAAGAGTTTGCTCTAAAGGCACTTTCCGTCTTGCTCCTTTGGTGTTACATGATTGTTGCATACCTGCAACTTCAGTTCTTTCACTGAATGTGCTTATATTAATTTACATACACATGTGTGGTATTAGCAGGGGGTTAATGTTTTCGGCAATGCATTTTTTCTTGTCTTCAACGTTTGCTTGAAATAATTTTGTTGCAAAATTCTTCGGACTGCGACGTTCTCCAAGTTTCTGGAA